AAAGCATACTGGTGGGACAAGGCAAAGGCTACAAAGCAAATTAAAGTTCCTACTCTCTCTCTCTCCCTGTTTTTTTGGTTAAATGCTAAATTTGGTTCCTCAACTTTAAGAAATGCACATTTTTGACCCCTCAACAATTTTTTGCACTCTTTTGATCCCTCAACTCTAACAAATGCACACCGTTAGTCCTTCTGTTAATTTGGGCTGTTAACTCCGCACATGTGGCATTTTTTTAATATTTTTTTTGATGATGTGGAGCGCAAAATTTAAAAAAGTGATGACATGGATAAAACGTTTTGCCATGTTCAAATAGAAAACATTTTCTCAGCATCCAAACACCCTTCTAGCCAAACAAATGGAAACCCACTAAGAATTGCTTCTTTAGCCATTAGTCACTGCTTCTATTCTTTCCATTGCCGGCGATGTTCTTTCCATTTTGAACATTGAAATCATTTAGACGATACTTAAGAAATATGAAGAAAAGGATCTCAAAAATCCCTCACAACCTACAATTTACATAAAAATCTTTTCAAACAAACATATAACAAAAAAAAAAAAAAAGTGGAGCTGGGTTCGACGGAACCCAGCAGATCTGGGTTCGAGGAACCCAACAGATGGGTTTGATGGAACCCAGCAAATGGGTTCCATCGAACCCGAGCTCAGTTTGGTGGAACCTAGCAAATGGGTTCCATCAAACCCAGATCTGTTGGGTTCCCTTGAACCCCGCAGATGGGTTCCATCGAATCCAGATCTACTAGGTTCCCTTGAACCCAGATGGCTGGGTTCAAGGGACCCAGCAACAGAGGAAGAAGAGGAAGAAAGAAGAGGAAGAAAGAAGAAAAAAAAAAGAAAGGAAGAAGATGGGTCGAATTTTTTTATTTTTTATTAGGTTAAACCCCCTTTTTGGTCCCTCAACTATCGTACGGACCCCCGATTGAGTCCCTCAACTCAAAAAATTCCTGACTTGGTCCTTACTGTTTACCATTTTAACCCCGACTTGGTCCCTCCGTTAAAAATCGCATGACGTGTACTGTTAACTAACGGAAGTATAATTATCTGTTAAAATATTAAACCTACGTGGAAATCCAGCATGGCAAAAAAAATGATTTGGCAATAAAAATTTAAAAATTTTTCTTTTTTCCTCCACTTTCTCTTTCACCTTCCTATTCCTTTCCTTGCCATCTTCGTCGATCAATTCTTCATCTTCATCTTCATCGATCAATTCTTCATCAAACAACAAAATCCACAAAAACACA